TATCTCACATTAACACCTTTTGATCATCAACTTTAAGAAATGTAAATAAAGTCTATGCAGAATGCCTAAGGTCTTCCACAGAAAAAGGCAGTGCGACCTCAGCATCAGCCTGTCTGACCCTACTATTCATGTTCTTCCTCATTTCTAATTTAGCCTTTAGTGCCTATATTCATATTCCACGCTGATTAAAACTATGCCTCACTGAACAGTATAGCCATCAACTAGTATATGGGTGGGTAGGTAAAGATTATATATGAAAATGGTACCTGCCTTTGGAGGGCAGACTCCAGTGAAGATATATATAACAAGACAGAACTGAAGTCCTTCACTCACAGAACTCTGTGTTCAAGGATAATCACAGAGACTAGAGGAAAAGAAAGTTAGATTTTTGGGGGGGGGCAGGGCTTGTACCTCAGAAGGTAACTATTTGGCAATCCAGCAACATGAAGGCCATAGAGAAAGTTCACTATCTGGCCTTAGCCCAATACATTCTTGAGTGAGGTATACTGTTTTTCTGGACCTTTGCATGCTCTGCTACAAAATTGTATGACCACAGAGCCCAACTCACAGAATACCTATCAAGCTATATGCTCTTTGAAGGCCAGGGCTGGGTGGAGTTTTTTCCTTTAGTTTCTTTCCTTCAACAGTAATTCGACAGGAAATGCAAAGTAGAAAGTTCTCTGTAAACATTCTCTGAACATTCATTAGGTAAATTGAAGAAAACTGGTTTGAAAGCTAAGAGGTAACAGATATATGACAATAGAAGAAGCCCTGATTCTTAGACCCTCAATGGCTGCTGCTCATTGCTACACTGAAGAATAAATACGGGTATCACAGCATGAACTTCATGAGCAAAGACAGGAAATTATGTAATACAGTGGTTTCTGTACTTGATATATGGTTCAAAAGGTAACAAAATTATCTCTTCAAAAGACAACTTATTAAATAAATTAGAACTAACATAAGAAAAATTTTAATCTTCACTCCTATCTTTAAAATTTATTTATACAACTTTGCTTACATAAATATTCTGAATTTTCAAGTAATCTACCAAGTTCTTCTTCCTAATGTTTTTTATCAACATTTCTTGCTCCCATTGAAAACTGGGTATTTCCCTCAGAGATTCCTCCATTTTGATCTCTGTTCTCTGGTACAAGGTTTCATTGCCTTTCTATTGATTTGAAAGTAAAGGGAAGAGCTCAGATCTACTCTCTTTGTACTTTTGTTAACTTTGAAGATGTGTATGGTATTAAGTAAGAGATTTGCCTATTTGTTGCTTTTTCATTTACCTTGTAGAACTGCTAAAATCTAGTACAACTTGCAGAATGTATATGTGCTTGTTCTAACAAAGTCTGTGATTTCTCCAGCAACTTTAGCTGTGAAGACAGAAGAAAGACAAGGATTTTTAATGTTTAAAAAATGGTATTTATTGTCCTTTTTCTTCTTACTTAATTCTATAGGCTCAAAAATCATGAGGGAAATAAAATCTTATCTTTTAATGGGTAAATGTCAAAAGAAGTCATTTACCAGTTTGTCCAAAGGATTTAGTTTATTTTCTAGAAAAAAATAAGTAGAAAACTGATTTAGCTAGAGTTCATAAAGGAAGGCTGGAATGTAGTTTCCTTCATAAAGGAAGTTTGGAATGTAGTTTCCAGTAAGTCCATCATTCTGTGCTTTCTCCATGCCATAGAATTCATTTTCAACCACAGCCATTAACCTGAGTTTTCACTGAAAAGTAAGCCACATGGACCAATGAAAAATTGTGTTAATGGAAAAAAGAAAGCATCTTCAACAAATGGTGCTGGCATAACTGGATATCAACATGTAGAAGGCTGCAAATACCTATCACTGTACACAAAACTTAAGTCCAAGTGGGTCAAAGACCTCAACATAAATCCAGCTACTCTGAATCTGCTAGAAGAGAAAATAGGAAATAGTCTTGATCACACTGGCATAGGAGATCACGTCCTAAATATAACACCAGTAGCACAGACACTGAAACAATCAATCAATGGGACCTCCTGAAACTGAGAAGCTTTTTTAGAGCAAAGGATACAGTCAACAAGGCAAAGTGACAGCCTACAGAATGGGAAAAGGTCTTCACTAACCCCACATCTGACAGAGGACTGATATCCAGAATATATAAGGAACTCAAGAAATTAGACATCAAAATGCCCAACAGTCCAATTAAGAAATGGACTATAGAACTAAACAGAGAATTCTCAACAGAGGAAACTCAAATGGCTGAAAGACATTTAAGGAATTGCTCAACATCCCTAATTATCAGGGAAATGCAAATCAAAATGACTCTGAGATACCACCTTATGCCTGTCAGAATAGCTAAGATCAATAACACTGAAGACACCATATGATGGAGAGGATGTAGAGCTAGGGGAACTCTCCTCCACTGCTGGTGGGAATGCAAGCTTGTACAACCACTTTGGAAATCAATATGGTGCTTTCTTAGAAAATTGGGAGTCAATTTTCCCCAAGATCCAACTATACCATTCTTGGGCATATACCCAAGGAATGCTCAATCATACCACAAGAGCACTTGCTCAGCTGTGTTCATATCAGCATTGTTTGTAATAGCCAAAACCTGGAAACAACCTAGATGCCCCTCAACAGAAAAATGGATTAAGAAAATGTGGTACATATACACAATGGAATACTACTCAGCAGAGAAAAACAATGACATCATGAGGTTTGCAGGCAAATGGATGGATCTAGAAAAAAAAATCATCTTTCTGCTTCCTGATCTCTCAGTTTTTACGCCAATATCTGGCTCCGAGTTTTTTATTAATAAGGCCACTTAGCAATTCATCTTGCATTTCACCCTTCAGTTTGTTTATTTATATCTACTCATCTTGGTTGTGATTACTTCTTTTTCTTTTCTAGAGCTTCCAGGTATGCTCTTATGTTGCTAGTATGAGATCTTGCAATTTTTTATGTAGACAGTGGTACCGGGTCCTGTGCTCATTGCATGAGTTGGCTGTTTGAAACCTGGGGCTTATGCAGGGACGCTTGGCTCAGCCTGGGAGGAGGGGACTGGACCTGCCTGGACTGAGTCTACCAGGTCGATCTCAATCCTCCAGGGAGGCTTTGCCCTGGAGGAGGTGGGAATGGGGGGTGGGCTGGGAAGAAGAGGAGGGGAGCGGGAGGGGGGAGAACAGGGGAATCCGTGGCTGATATGTAGAACTAAATTATATTGTAAAATAAAATTAAATTAAATTACAAAAAAGAAAAAAATTGTGTTTAGTCTAATGTGCATGCTATTCATTTATTCCCCTAATTTTTCATTTCCTGTTTAGCAATAAAATCTGACTTGAATACTTTAATCACAAGATCCAAAATATCTTCTGTGAGAAAGTAAATACTGTGAAAAATCCCTAGTTGTGATTCCCTGTAACAAAAGACAGACTAACAAGAGAAATATAACAGTTCTAATAATATGTAGACAGATGATCCCCAACTTAAGATGGTTCATCTTACTTATGTTGAAAAGAAAAACATGCCTATTAAAAACTGTAGGATAAATATTTGGTTTTAATCTTTTCCAAGCTATGGATAAACTGTACTTCTATTTCATCACAATTCTTGGCATTAAGAAACAGCTAGAGTTTCCAGTAACTGCACCATCAAGAGGGAAAACAACCAATATTTGGCAGTATATTATGTGGATGAACTGTGGTGTTTGGTAAGCTAGGTATGGTAAGTGTATTTTAGTCCCTGTTTTGAGAGTGTACAGAGTACAGATAAGTATAGAGGCTGTAACTGATGTAGCCAGTCAAGAACAACCCCTAACTTCCATATATATACATAAAATAATACAGAGATGAGTTTATTGTCATAACTCAATTTCCTAGATTTATACTTTAAGTCTAAATGCATCAATATTAGTTTCCTATTACCATTACAGATGCTTATGATAATCAACTTATGGGAAGGTTTATATTGGCTCACAGTTTTGGCAGTTTTAGTCCATTTCTTTGGAGCCCATTGAGAAGAAAAACATTATTGTGGGAGCACAAAGCAAAGCAAGAACAGTCCCAGGGGAGTCTTTGCCTTGGAGGAGATGGGAATGGGGGGTGAGCAGGGGGGAAGGCAGGGGGCGGGAGGGGGGAGGACAGGGGAATCCATGGCTGATATGTAAAATTAATTTAAATTATAAAATAAAATAAAAAAGAACTGTAAGGAAGCAAAAGAAAAAAGAAGAGAAGGAGGAGGAGAAGAGGGGAGAAGAAGAGGAGGAGGAAGAGGAAGAGGGGGAGGGGAGGAGAGGGGGAAGGAATGGTGTCACATTCTCTCCTTCAGGGCCACACACTTAACACTAAAGACATTCCACTTGAAACCATCTCTTAAAGGTCCTATCATTCCTCTGAGATGCCAGGCTGGGGACTCAGCCTTTCACATACAGGCTCTAGGGACATTCCAGATCCAAAGTGCATTGCCCTCCTTCTCTGAAACAAAAGGGGATGTGGAAAAAGACTCATTTAATAATCGAATGAAAATTAGATCATTTGTGATGGTCTCATTCTGGTGCCCACTACTATGAATATTCAAATCTTCAAATTTAGTCTCTATTCTCATTCACAGGCAGAAAGGGAGACACCCTTACAAATGGGGACTTCTTTTCCTGATGTGAATTTCTCTTGTTTTTTTATGAGGGAATATCAGAGCTTATAGCCTCTTATATCCTCAAACACACAAAATATAATCTTTATGCTAAAGACGCTTATTTGTGGGTTGCATATTTCAGTCTCTTACAATTATATCTTGGGGTAGCAAAGACCAACAGATGGGTCTACAACAGTTGTCATTATATATCTCCTCTTTCATAAGACAGCATCCCAGAATTAGACACTGTCTATAAGTGACTTTTACTTATTAAAGTACTCAGGGGCGAGCAGTGTGAAGAAGCAGCGAGAACGACCCCGGACAGACCAAACGCTCGCACCGCTGCATCCCCGCATTCAGCGCCAACATCTCCCACTGCCACCATGCCCAAAAGAAAGGCTGAAGGGATTACTAAAGGAGATGAAGCCAAGGTGAAGGACGAGCCACAGAGAAGATCTGCAAGGTTGTCTGCTAAACCTGCTCCTCCAAAGCCAGAGCCCAAGCCTAAAAAGGCCCCTGCAAAGAAGGGAGAGAAGGTCCCCAAGGGGAAGAAGGGGAAGAATGCGAAAATCCCTGCAGAAAACGGAGATGCCAAAACAGACCAGGCACAAAAAGCTGGAGGTGCTGGGGATGCTAAGTGAAATGTGTGCATTTTTGATAACTGTGTACTTCTGATGACTGTACAGTTTGAAATACTGTTTTTTTTTATCAAGTTTTATAAAAATGCAGAATTTTGTTTTACTTTTTTTTTTTAAAGCTATGTTGTTAGCACACAGAACACTTCATTGTTTTTTTTTTGGGGGGGGCGGCGAGGAACATGTGTCACAAACAGAATGTCTCCCAAGCTGGATTGGTGATGGTTGATGTTGGAAAACATCTTTCCCTACTAATTTTAAAAGACTCCTCTTGTCTCTCAGGAGAGACGTCCTGGTGTTGACATATGTGACCACCATGGCCTAGTGTGGGAAACTCTAAATTCATTTCTGTGTCTTCTTCTCCTGTACCATCAACATAGACTTAACTCCCTTCAAACCAGAGACCTGTTAGAACCTGACCCCCCAAAATTGGTTTTGCCGGTCTATCAGGCAATCTGGACTTTACAGTGGTATCAATGTGTCCTCAAAAGAGCAGCGGTTCCTTTTATAAAAGATTGTGGATCTTCAGATTGATAATAATTCTGCTGTGTTCGTCTGGGTTTCTGAAAGTCAGGGTCAGATTGTGAATAGTTGTTAAACAACATCCTCAGTGTGAACTGTCAGCCCTCACTCCAAGCTCTCGCCCTTTTCAAAGCACTGAATGAAGACTCATCGGGTTTTATAGTGGCTTTCTGATTTGGGTAGTCTATACAAGAAGGAAGTTTGGAAGCTCTTGTATTCTGTTCGTGACTGTCTGCCCATGTCCTGCCTGAAAAACCATGATTGTTTATGGAAAGTATCTTTAATAAAGCTGGATACAGTTTGGTTTGGAAAAAAATTAAAGTACTCAGGGATCCAAACTGATATGGATTCTAAGGCAAACTCTCCCCAATAACTGGTGAAAATGAACCCCTTCAACAACCCGAGGAAAAACCCCTTTTAAAAAGGCCTTGAATCTCCATTCTTCTCTCTTTCCTTTCTTCTGCCTATTCATTCAACCATTCATTCATTCAAGAAAAATTAATTGTAGTGCGGGAGCTAGAGTTCAGTGGTTGAGAATGCTTACTGATCTTGAAGAGGACCACAGTTTGATCCCCAGCACCCACACTGGTTAACTAACAAGTACTTGTAATCTCAGTTCAAGAGGAAATCTGATGCCTTTTTCTGAACCTTTGGAATCACCCAAATATACACACTAGGATGCATAAATATAAAACAATTCTTTTCAAAACAAAGCAAAATAAGATAAATTCAGTCTAAAGTATTTTCTGATTTTCTCATTATTCATGACTCAGCTTCAGAAAACTTGAAACAATGAAGACAGAAGGAAACCCCACAGTCCACAGGAAACAATTCCAAAAGCAAAGAGATTCCCACATCCTGGATCACTGTCAATGAAATACAAGAATAATGTTAGATACTAAAAATCAACTCAAGTTGTAAAAGGAAGCAAAAGACATGAACATATTTCAGATGAAGTAAAGACAGTCCATTCATATAGGTGGAAGTAGGAACCTGTTAGTAAGTAAACACTAGTTTATTTGGACAAAACTCCACTTTTAGATAAATGTATCTAATAGCATTGTTTACAGAAAAAGAAAAGAAAATGAGAGCCACACTTTACAGCCACCAAAATAAATCACTTAAGTAACTGTATTATTTCAAAAATGTAAAAAGATTTGTTTAAAATTAGAATGTAGAAATGTTTTTGTTACACTGAATGTCTTCCTAATTTGTGGTTTAGTGAAAACTGTGGACTAAATGCTACTACATTTCATAGGCTACCTGGTTTACATTTTAAAACTACATGTATAGTGTTATATATTTATATATGTATACCAATATATATGCACACACATGTCTTGTTGCCTTAAACTAAAGCCAGAATATCAAAATATATAAACATTATTTTATATTTAACACTATATCTATACTAAGCATTTATATGGATATATATATATATATATATTGCATAGCCTTAAACTAAAACTTAACATCAGAATGTGAACATTGTTTCTATGTGATATAATTATCAATGATTTTATTTTACCTTTTATTTACCTTGTCTGTTGTAAGTTTTGCACAATGCATATGCATTTCTTTTCTAATAAAAATATTGTTTTCAATGCATATAAATAATTTTTTACTTCTACAAAAGAAAGTGAAAAGGTCTTTTAATAATTCTAAATTCTATGTATATGATATCAATGCCCATCACAGTTCCAGGCTATTTGAAAAATGTTTTTAAAAAACATGATACCTCATCCTTAGTCAGCATTAAAAGTGTAATATCATCCGTGTCTTGCTCTAAAACCAATCTTGGCCAAGAACTGAATGAACATATTACAGCATCACAGAAATATGAGTTTGGAAATAACTTTGCTTAAAATTCTGGAGTTTGTTCTTGAGTAAGGAAGTGGATTTCTTGTAAAAGTCCAAGAGTAAATTTCCATGATGCTGCATATTCCATGTTAGTAATTTATCTTTCTACTCTACTTGAGGCTCAAGCATAATTATGTCTTCAACCTCAAGCTTTATACATTTATGAGCAATGGCTCACTGCCCAACAAACAAAGAAACCAATGACGTCATATCTTTGCAAAAACTTTGTTGTGAAACCCTCTGACAGTACAAGTACAGATAATGACATTGCAATTGGGTTGGTACAGACAGAATCTGTAGAAAATGAGAGGAAACAATTTGCTTGCTGACTGGATATCCAGAAGGGGATGTCATTTTACACAAGTGCCAACAGTTGCCATGCCCCTTCATTAGTCATGTTTCTTTTGGAAAAGAGTGATATTTTGCACATAGTGTTTGGAGACTGTGATGTCAATAACACTAACCACACAGAGATAGCTTCTGAGTATGTCCATTCATGAGAAGCCACCACCCTTGCACCAATTCTAGAGGCACTTTATGAAGATAATCACTTTGTTCTTCAAGAAATTTAAGTCAAGCTGTATCCAGGCTTAATTCATTTTGGTGCCAGATTTTGATGTAGGGATGACACTCAAAATTAATACTATTAAGTACAGTCTTCAACATGCAGCACACTTGGAGGACACTGGAAGATAAGAACTTGCCTTGGAAACCTTGAAACAAAGGTCCTTTTGATCTTTCCTTGTTTTTGCAAACCCAGAAATAAATTTTCTCTCAAATTTCATTGTCTACACTAAGAACCAGATCTGTCCAAAATGTGCTCAACTGTATTCAGTCTCCTTATCCAGGAATAATGAAACTCATATGACATAGAAAGCATCTGGCAATCAACCACCCTACCAACAACCTGGAGAACATTGTTACCAAGCCCTGTGTGAGCCCTATTTGGTCTTTCATCAAGATTACTTGTGCTTATTCTAAATTATCTACACCTCTCATTTTTGTCTCCCTATCAAGATAGAAATATAAGTTTGTGAGTCTCAGTGGATTGTTAGAATTTACCTTGTTTTGTCCTGATACACACAAACTAATTTTTAAATTTTTTTTCTTCGGTCCATGTGTACATCACTGGTTTATTTTAGACTGAAGAACTTTAGATTTCAGAGGGTGAGGGCTCACCTCAGATATACAATCACATCTCAGCATCTTTGCTTCTCAGATCAGTGGCTGATCACTTCAAGATTGAAATCCCAGTGTTACACAATGGACTACAAACTTTCAAAGACTTTTAAAGATGGAAGAGTAACTCTTCCTAAAGTTACTTGAAATTTAAGGGCTAGAGAAATAGCTCAATGGTAGAGGGCTTGCTTAACAGGTACAAAGCTCTGGATTTTTATCCCTAGCAAAACTGTTATTCAAGGTTATTAGCATTACAAGATGATGTGTTCATTTTATTTATGTCTAGGAATGTCTACTGTTCTTTATTTGTGCAGTTATTAAGTAACATTTTCCAATTTTACACCTACTGTTGTAGCTCTGATCTCCCAAGCTGAGCTGAAACTATGCAATCCACCTTCTTCCTTCTCTGTTAGGTTCTGCCAGTAGAGTACAAAAGAGGAGACGAGGTTGGGGCTGGCACAGAGAGAGGCACCTGCTTTCAATTTGCCTCCTTACTGGCACTAGCACAAATGACATTAAAATGAGCAGTATTTCTTTACTGTGGCTGCAGCACAGAGGCAGGTCTCACCCCTGCAATTTTACCTTCAGTTGCAAAACAAGTCTAGTGTCTTCCCAGCCTTGTAGAAACTAGCACATGCCAGCAGAACTCCTGCAGAGGTCTGCCTTTTAGCCCTCTGGGGCTTTGCTTCTACTTTACTATTTTCAGAATTCTTTCTTTTGCCCTGCCAGCCCTGTGCGTGAAGCTGTTTCATACAGTTGCTAGCTAAAAAGTTGATTTTTATCATTTTGGCTTCCTACCAATCACCTTTCTATTCACAAAGATTATTTTTAGTTTGACCTGACTTAAGTCAGGTTCCCTGAATCCTTCTCTCAACATGGCCCACCTGTGAACTTCCTGCAAAGCCCGGTTTTAGCAGGAGTTCTGCCAAGTTTAACAGAATCCTTATCTGCTGCATCTGATATCTAGTCTAAGATCTTCCTCACCTGGGGGTGGGGAGGATATGTTATCCCCTTTGTATGTCTTCAGCCAGAACCCTGCTGGGTTAGGTCAGTTCAGCCAGAACTCCCAGACTCTATGTTTTCTTAGTCATAGTCTATCCATCATTTGCTTCCTGACTATAAATTCTCAACTGTTGCAATTTTATTTGTAGTTGAGCTCATTTCCATATTAGGATCACTCTTCTTTTACTACAATAGATTTTGTTTGTTTTCTCTTAATAAAAATCTCTCTTCCACACTTTAACTTCTATCACTCTTTAATTATAACAGTACTTATTATAATTTGTAGTTGGAAGTTTTCCTATGTCCCGCTCTGCCCCGACTGTGGTCCAGACAAATCTCTCTCACCTGAGGTCCCACAACCACTGGGACCCAAGTAAACACACAGAGACTTATATTATTAACAAACGATATGGATTATGGCTTTAGTCGCTTGGCAGCTAGCT